CTAGTCTTTCGTTACTTCGTGCGGCCAAACCGTTCCTGCAAGGCGAGCAGAGACAACATTATGGGTTTTGTTGGGGCTTAGGGCTTGGGTGGTGGCCGTAAGGACATGAAAACGGGGCTTGAGGGTTATTGCTGCCAAAGTCTCTGTCGGGGCAAGTTTTCGCCATCTTGTCTGGCATACCTGCACGATTCTCGACACCTACCGACCTCCCACTTGGCATGCTTGAAGCCCACTTCGGGTAGTGCAATTCAAGCCAACCACAGTATCGACTGTCCCGAGCTTCGAACCTGAAATGCTGAGACCCAACAGTACCCCAAACCAAGGCTGCATTTTCGGCAAGACACTGGGTGGCTGCTTTCTCGTGGTCGGTGCTTCGAATTGCGGCTGAAGGCCTGGGGTGCAAATAGGAAAACCGAGTACACTTGAAATCTTCTGAAGTCATCCCTGCAAAACAATTAATCTTTTAATCACCGAAGCTCTACAACCCTAGACCCCCCTAAACCCTGATCGGAGCCCCTCCAAGAAACTCCACGTAGATCCCTTTAGCCCCCAAGCCCTTAAACCCGGAATCCCGGGAAAAGTCGCCCATAGCTTCACTGACTTCGTGCCCGGGGACTTGAATAAACTGCTGGGCTAAGCGGGCAATGCATTGGGCCTAGAGATTACACTTCGAGCTTCGTAAGGCAAGGATTGCTAAATTAGCTTCGAGCTTGGGTTGGGTCTTACATCGGGGGCTCGGGGACTGGATACTTTAGAATTGAAACCTTGCTGAGACTTGTTGCCTAGACGTGTTCGTAATTAACTCCCTTGGAGCTAAGGTCGTTCTCTTTGTGCAGCAAATACCAGTATATTTAGATCTATATTATATTAGCAAAGCAAGTGTAGCTCAGCTGCGAGAACCCGACAACCAAAATTAGAAGTTTGCCTCGATATACTATCAACAAACCCGTCCTAACTGTGAGCCTGGCACATAGCTTAAACCCAGAAGCCGGACAGGTCGCTGGTCACTGCTGTCACCACCGGCATGTCTACCTGGGAGCGACTAGAAGGGATTTAGGTAATGTTGCGGTTGAGGATGCCGAGCTGTGAGCTTTCGGTAGGTGTGGGTGTGCTTTGTTCGTTCAATGTACAATCTAGTGAAAAGGGTTTAGGGTTTAGGGGCTCAGCTATAATTGGGACTTTGGATTTGGAGCTTCGGGTTCCTGCCTGAACGAATACAGGACTAGACATTAATTTAACCACTCCTTTATGCTGCTGGGATGCTATCTCAATAGGACTTCAAGGCAAGAGGCACGGCATCGATTGGATCCTATGGATTCTCTTTCTCAGATCAATCGATCTACAGTATCGAATGAGAGCTGATGCAGAGGCGAACTCAAGCGATCACAGGCACATGTGCGAACAGCATGAATCAGCTAACTCGCAAAGTCGGAGCAGTCCTACAGCTGGCACAGCAATACATCGACTCATAAACATGATGGCTGGGCAATCCGAGGAAACTACACCGTACTTGGCGTAGATCCTCGTCCCGGGTCGCAGCTTCGGCGGCATGGTCGCAAGAAGTGTACCTGCCAGGAAGCAGACACAACCACTATCCTCGAAAAACTCGTCGCTCTGTTATATCGCTGAGTGCAGGCAGTCGCGATTTTGCCCGTGCGTGAGACATTGCCCGAATGCGAGAACCCCGTCTGCCCGGCCACATAAAAGCCAGGATATGGAACACGAAAGATTCGCAAATTGTGTGATTTGCAGCAACTGCTGGCACTGTGAAGGCGGCTTGTAGGACTTAGAATGATTTAAGGATCAGGGTTTAAGGATATAAGCGGAAGTTCCCCTATAGTCACCCATACCGAAAAATAGTCTAAGCTTATCCCTCACTCTCCAGCATTGCTGCTTGTGCTAGGCACAAAACCCCTGTCGTCAGCGGCTGAGCAACTGTGCACGGCGATCGGGTCGTAACTTGCTCAAAGCAAGTATCCTGGGCTTCGGGTCGGGGCTTAGTCTTTGGCTTTGGGTCGGGGCTTAGTCTTTCCTGAAACCACAAGCCTAAACCTAAACCTGCTCTAAACCCTAAGCCCTAAAAACCCCGAATCATTTTTAAATCTAGGTGCTCTGAGTGGACTCGAGGGCCAAGAAGGATTCTGCGGCTGTTGCACAAACTTTCGCGAGCCGTGATGAGTCCCAGGCTTTCTTCTCATATCCCGCCTCCTCCAAGCAGCTCTGAGCATGGGTCCAGAAGAAAGCCTCAACAGATCAGGTAAATTAGTAGAAGAGGAAAAGCAAATTATCTAGTATCTTCTAAGAACCCTCTAATTAAGTCGTCTAGGAGCAGATACTGTGGAAGGGCACCGGACCCGACTCTCAATGTGTAACTCGAAGCTATCCTTGATGGCATCCCATCGTTTGCCAGCGAAGACACAGAACCCGGGACGATAGCGGCGAGCGAAGATAGGCTTGGGGTCGCCCTCCTTTGCCTCCGGCTCCTTCTTAGCAGCCTTAGCATTCGTGGCCTTCGGCTCGCTTGTCTGCTCCGTCTTGGGCTTGCGGGGCTTCGTGCTTTTCTTCGGGTTCGTAGGGGCCGACTCTGCCGGCCGATCCGTGTCGTCGTCACCGCCCTCGGGATCCACGACCTCGCCGGGCTCATCATCCTTCTTCTCCATCTCGTCAGAGGCCTTGGCCTTTGTCTCGAGACCATCATCCCCTGTCACGGCCTTCCGAGGCCTTCCCTTCTTCTTGCCCGAGCCTTCCTCAGCCTCAACCTCGCCTTTTGCCGATGCCTTGGCTCCTCCTTTAGCTTTAGCTGTGCTCTTAGCCTTAGCCTTAGCCTTAGCCTTAGTCTTAGCCTTAGCTTTAGCTTTGGGCTTGATTGAGGATTCATGTTCCTTCTCCATGTCGTTCTCATCGTCCTCGTCGTCCGGCTTCTTCGCAAACTGCGACTCACGTGTGATGAAGTCTTTGGCCTCGCAATTGAAAAGGTCCTCCGGGTCCGGCGGGCCGTCTGCAACAGGCTTCACATCCTCCTCGATCTCGCCAGAAGCAGCTGCACGAACCCCGGATGCACTTGCACCCGAATCCTGGAAAGGCTCCGAATCTGCAGCTTCATTGAACAGCTCCTGCAAATTCTTGGAAATGGGCGACATGTCCACGATCTGAGTCTCTTGCTCAGAAACTGCAAGTTTCCGGTGCTTCCACGGCCGGGCACACTGCAAGGATCTCTTCCTCTTTTCAATCTCTTGCCTAAGGCCAATCAATTAGCACTGGAGAGAAAAGAACCGAGCTAAATCATAAAGGAATTCAGCACTGCAACTCACCAGGATGCCTCAGGGCCTCTATCTTCTGTCGCTTGTCCATGACAAGCACGTCGCGAGGTGTCGGGGTCACAATCCTGACATCCGGCGAATCTTTCAAGTTCGCCTTCATCTCGAGGTCGGCCGTGAGGCCGGTGTGCAAGGAAGCAGCCGAGCTGCTTGCAATGGAGGCAGCACGAGCAGCCCCCAAAGCACGAGCCAGATCAATGTCATCCAAATCCTCTTCCTCCGGCTCCTGCATCTCTTCCACCTTGCAATCATCCTCCGAATGAACATCTTCATCGGCTGGCGGCGGGGCTTCGTCCTTCTCGACGACTTGGAAATACATGCTAGTGATTTCGAACAGCTTTGCGACCTGGGGGTCCTTGGAATCTTTCAGTTGTGATATTTATGTTTCGCTTCATTCTAACTACACCCTGTGGCTCCCACTTGAATCCCTGAATCCTTAGACCTCTGGAATCACTAAACAAACTATGCGGGATCGGGTATTGTGAGGTAATCGTATTCTTAGAGCAGATCATGAACTCCCCCTCAACCCTAAAGCCAAACATCCCCAGGCTAACACCTTGAATCCCAAAGCCAAAATTCTCGGTTTGATTAAATAGGCTATCCTATGGAGGCTCAGACTAGCATTCTCCAGAAATTACAATTTAGGCAATCCCTTTCAAGTATCCATTAATCATCCCCAATATTAAGCCTTGGATAACAGCAGCACCGGAAAGCCCTGAACCCGACACCAATCCTGCATGCAACCCAACCACTCTTCGTGCGGCTCCGTCGTGGCGCTTTACAATGTACGACATAAAGTTCTTTAAGGACTCAGCATCACATGCCACCTTGACAGCATCATCCGGAAGCGACAAGCTCGATCGCAGTTTCGTAACCTACAGGGGGGTTTGCATTCAGGCTTCCATACAGCTGAAGCACAACTCCTAGGCTCGAAGAAGAGATCTCACTTAAAATAAAGCCTCCTCCCTGCAGGCAAAGATGTTCACTGAACGGAGAGTGTCGATCGCGGGCAACCAAATGTGGAGCAGCTTGGTCAAAACTTTGTAGTTCAAAGCCATCGTTTCGAAGTTGATGCAACCGACTTTGTTTGGAGCAGGCCACCTCAAAAGATTTCCGGTTTTCAGTAGATGCCCCCGGATAAGCTTAGCCTTCTCCCATGACTTTGCTAAGCCGAGCAATGCATCCTTGTCAGCAACCGGAGTACCCTTTCGAGGCATGGCTCAGGATCGCCCTAAGCACAACACAGCTTGACCCCATCAATCTTGCAAGCAAGCACATAAGTCGCTCAACTTGCACACAAACTCAGCCGAAAGAGCATCTATGTAACACAACCAATTGGGGCACTGCAGCGAGGTGCCAGCAGCTGCCCATCCACCTGAGCAACAGTCATGGCACTCATTGTCTTCAAATCATAGAGCCTTTGCAGCTGAAGTGACAGCTTAAAGCAGTGCAAACCCAGGCACCGAAAAATTTCTCAATGATGTCAACGAAAAGTTGCAGGCAACGAGGATGACCTGCGAAGGGGTATCATAGGATTCTAGAAATGAAAGTAGTTCTGCGATCCTACTTTTTAGTTCGCGTGCACACTGCAAGGGACTTATTTTAAGCCAGCTTTGTGTTCCTGCAGCTGCGACCCCGGCTCCCCGCTCGGCTCCACAGCACTCCAAAACTTCCCCAGGACCTGGATGGATCCATTCCGATGATATGCCTGAGATGGGTGGATCGCTTCAGGTGGAAAAAGGCTTAGAGACGAACTCCTATTTGCCAGCCCAGGGACAATCATTGGAATTTTTTGACTACTTTCGCCAAGTAGTAGCAGGCTCCATGATTTCTGTAATTCTGGAGCATTGCCCACATATGATCATCGGGGATAGGCACCTGCCAGAGAGTATTAATTTAGGCAGTCATAGTGAATTGGATGGTCCCTTCCATCCCCCTCCCCGGGCCTTGGGCAACTTGCTTGAGTCCATCCAGTCCTCGTCCGAGTAGACGACCTCTTGGCACCGGACCCAGTACTGGTCCGGCATCTTGTCTAGGCCTGCGAACTTTGGGAGCTAGAAGGGAAGCCCCTATGATAATCGAAGCTAGCTGCTCAAATCCTGGCCTTCACGTGCAAGCTCTTGAAACAGCACCGGCGAAAGCCTATTGTAAGCCATGGGCCCACTACTCAGAGGGGACAGAAGGGTCCTTCAAATCTATCTCAACAGGTGCCCTTCGATATGCAAATGCTGAGGTATGCACAGCAAAACTTCCAAGAACAACAATCAGAGCAAAGAAAGCCTGCAATGAGCACAGCTGACAGCAGAAGGAGGGTCGCACCGCCGAAATCAGACCAGTCCAGCCGGCCATGGACAAAATTCGGCTTGATAGGTTCACAATCTCTCCAGGATCTAATCCAAGCTTCGTGGAATTTGTATTAATTATGATTGGCACACAGGATGATGCCCAATAAGACCTAATCCTCAAAGTAACAGCTCTCTTCGTACGATATTTCTGCCTAACAGCATGTATTGCACATCCAAGGGAGCTGCAATCGCTTGAATCATCAAAGCAACAACTCTAAAACCCATTACCGATTAAACCCGAATGGTGCCCAGCTCAAAACCTCGAAAAGAGGGACATCAGCCCGCAGACTAAAATCCCCGACGGACCTCGGAAAAGGAGACTATTCTTACTCAGACGTTTATTTCAGCCTGTAAGAGGGATGCAGGTATATATATATATA